TATAATTATATATAGATGTGCTTTAGAGATTCATCATCTATCCTTTCACATCTATCCATATCTTCTATTCTTTTACTTGGGATTTTGCATCAACGTGACATCTTGTGTGACATGCCTTAACTATGACATCTTGATCACAGATTTTTTGATAGAATACAATGATCGTGAAATCACCTTATATTCTTACACCGTGGTTCTGGTTAATTTTTAACAGGTTAAGTCGGGTTCTTCAGTTCTCTATTGACTTTTCAAACGTTTTCGTTTATGTCTAAAACCCATTGTAAACTTAGAAATGGCACTTGGACTACCGATGATCCAGAATCACATTGGAAGCGTATTTCTTTTCTTTCAGGCAATTCTCCACTGCAGCATAAATTATAAGCAGTCTTCTGTCTATGGCACTTAAGTGCGCCTCCGTCACAAGTGGAAGAATGTCCGACATTTTAGCCTCGTGCGCGACGAGCTTACCCAGTGCGACGCTCAGGGATCCACCGCTAAACAGTCGCAACCTGTTCCACGTGGTTTTGTGAATTCTGAAATCAATTTTATAAATTTCTTAAATTAATTTTTAATTTATTTTATTTCTTGCAGTCCTAATGATCAATGAAGGACGAAATAAAGGAAATTTCAAAAATAATTCGGCACCGGAAGCAACTAATAAAGCACTTGAAATACATTGCATTCTTTTTTTCATTCAGAGCAAGTAGCAATTGCACAAAAATGCACTTACATGCAGCACTGGTAGAGAGGCGCTAGAATGTCAAGATGATCCACGTCGGGATTGCCGAGACTCTTCCCGTTGTCGATCAACAACACCGCGGGATTGTGAAAATTATTTTGCGCGACCTCGTAATGATGACGATCGCCGTTGTCCATGAGAAAATCGAAGATCGCCGTGTCGATCAGATCCAAGAGTCTGCTCGACGATTGCGGCGAATAGGCTTTCGAGTCCTTCACCTAAAAATAAACATTAAATTGCATTACAAATATACTTCCGTAGGTTTGCTTTTCCGTAACCGCGCGAGGATCGCAGAATTATAGGACGTTGCAGAAACGTACCCTGTCACAGTATTTCTCGTCGACCTCCCACGTGGCGAGTTTGTTCTTCTTGTAAGTCCGTTGCCAAGGATGACGATGCTTGACCAGTCTCAGGTACTGCGGAAGCCAGAAGATGAAGGCACCCTCCAGCACGTCCCCCGTCCCGCAAACTGGATCGGCTGGAGAGCAATAGTGACAAACGCCGTACAGGCACGTGTCGTTGCCCTCCTGATACATGGTCGCGTACAACGCCGGCGTGGCGAACTGGCGAACCTCTTCTTTGAGATCAACTGTAAAAGTACATTTTCTTCAACTTTCTCAACTTGGCAGATTTTTCCTCATTGGAGGAAAATAATTACAGGCGGAATTCCGCACTGGTTTTAAACTTTCTATTGTGAGTCCCATTTTATTCATTTAATTCTCTTCCACTGTGAGCATCGTGTTTTATTGTATCGAGTTTCAGAAAGCGGAACGTTTCGATTCTTATTCCTCTTTCTAACACTTTTGTTTAATCTAATGAAAGAAGCTGTTTCAATCTTAAAATCTATATTAAACTGCGCATTGACATCGTCGGATTTTTTAGTCTCAGTTAATCGAGCTGCATCCTCGATGTTTAAATTAGATGACTCTTTTCAATCTTCATTCAACTCTAACATACGTTTTCGTATAACGGCGAGTGGCACTCTTCGCAACGCCAGCAAGGATGATAAATGAAAGGCCACCACTTCAGCATTGTGACGATCCTTGCCGTGGTACACTGGTCCGCGTATAATGGCGTCTCTGGGATACCACTGTGGCTTAAATAACGCTCTCACGCCGTTCTCCAAGTTCAGCATCAGTTTCAGTTGCGTTCCTAGCAGAGCGTTATCCACGCGGACCACTCTGGACTTGCGCAGGACTTCCAGGATGGTTCCTAGTTCCGGGGCGGCTGGGGGAATCAGCTGATGTGCATCTGGCCACTGTACAGACAACGTTTACTTGCGCTTAATACATCTGATCGGATTTATGCATCTTAAAACAAGTAGCCAAACATTATCATTCAATAATTTCGTCGATTAATTCATATTTTTTTTTACAAGATGTGCGTTAGACAATTATCGACTAACATTGTTATTAGGAATATTCCAGATATCCTCGCGAACGTTTGGCATTATTTTCAGTTCGGCCAGCAGCCGGTCCAGGACGAGAGTGTAACTGGTGTTCTGCTTGAAATACTTGGAGGGCAGTGTGCGAATCTCTTCCTTGATCCTCTCACTGATGTCCTTCAAGATTGGCTTCAATTGTGGCTGCGGATCCTTTTCATTGGACCGCAGAGTAGAGGGATCTTGCCTCGCTTTTGGTTCTGGCAAATTCCTGGAGGAAGTCTTCTGCGAGGAGGCACTGTCGACGATCATCCGAATGAAGTAGACATTCACGCTGAGGACCAGGATCAGGAGGATGCTCAAGGCAAAAAGGGCGCAACGTCGGCCAATCATCTGCGATCTTCGCGGATCTTGGACTTCCGATTACTACAAAAGAAATATGCGACAATGAAATAGATTTTAATTATACCTTTGCTCTCAGCTAAATTTGAAACTGAGATATCTGTGTCGTAGACACATGAAAGTTACACGTCTAGATAACTTGATGTTCTTAATTCTTCTCAAGATATAATATCTTTATGTTACAAATGACAACTCTAATAATAATAACGTTATATCTGAAATTAAATCGCTATAAAAATAAGCTCTTTTTCGAATTGTTTAAAAATATAACAGGTGACTTTACGAAATTACCGAAATTAATATAAAAATAAATGTTCTTTGGTTGAATGCGCATCAAAAATAAGATTTCCCGCGTTGCTGACAGCTGCATGATGCAATTCCTGTTTGCCGCGTCATAGCGATGATGGTGACATTGTGATGTTGCTCGCATCGTAAACATCGGTACAATTATAGCTAACTATAATTAACCGAGTATTCCCGCTCCATCTGAATCATAATTACAGATACAATCTAACAATAAACACTGTAAGCCTTAATAAAAGAGACACTAAGATTTATTCGTACGTGGGAATCATTTGATCAATGCGCGCTCAGCTCGCTCGTGATGATGAATATTTAGCGATAACGATAGCGTTCGATCATCTCTTTACCTTGCAACCACGCGTCCGCTATCATCTGGCAACACGCGTCTCTCCCATGCTTCATCGACTGTCACCACGTCTCATTCGCGTTCGGGCATCGTCGCCATTTTTGCTTTCTACCAAGATGTGCCACAGCGACGTGTCCACGCACCCGTCGTCTCATTCAACATCACGATTTCACGCTGTCATGAATGAAACTTGCGTCAGTGACGCCAGATTTGACATGCAGCTGCAAGCAGCATGAGAGAGGAAACGCCGCGCACGTGCGCAAGCGTATGTATGTACATGTGAGCTTCGCGCTTCGGCTAGTTTCGTCCTAGAAAAGATCCCGCAAGGACGGCTGAACCGCACAGTCATTTGGGCTTAGCGAACCCACAGATTTGAGCTCGCACACATATACACTGACACACTTACATTTTACACAGTTTTAGCATCCTCGTGAATTTTTATCACCCCCACCAGACCCAGATGGCCGTAAGAGATCCTTTGGAGCTGTTGCACATCTACTCTACTCTACTCATAGATGAAACATCTTTAGGACGTTCTAAAAGATATCTTTAAGACGTCCTAAAAACGTTTTTTAATTTCTTTAACAATTGGCATTTTGCACTTTGCAACAAAAAACTTTCAAAAAATTTTAGAAAACGTTTTAAGTATTTTACAAGCATCTTAACACTGTCAAAAGTAGCCTAGAAGCATGTAGAAAAATTAAGATTACTAATTGTTAACAGGAACACGTGCATGACGGGGATTTTGAGGTTAGATAAGTTCATCAATAATGGTTTATTTATGTACTAAAGTACATAAAATAGATGTCAGATTAGATAACAAAAATTTTCTTTAGAAAAAAAATATTCGAGACAAATTTAAACTCTCGTTTGGACGAATCTCCAAAAGACGCAGTATTATTACAAACGTGTAGAGGCGACAAGTGACGGAGAAGAATTTATTTTATAAAAACATGTAAACTACATAGTCTGTGAATATAGACGAGTTAGACCTAGGCTGCGTTCTCGAAAACGCACAAAGTGTACATGTTGGTGATGATGGTGGCTCGGCTTGTCGTATCTCTCTCAATCCCCATACATAGTTACATAGTTCGTACAAATAATTAAATATATACAAAGTGCATAGACGCCTTCGCTTCTTATTCCCTTTCCCTTCGTTGCCTCTCACGCTCCCGTGCCAATTCTGTGGCGTAATCGTACGGTGAGCTTCTCCTAAAAACAAAAGAAACCTTTTTTTTACAATCTGTGTGGAACGCGAAAAATATTCGACACAAGTTTCAAACGCAAAAAATTAGACAAATTACATCAGTCTGTTTTGCTGACTAGCATTTCTGACAAATTTTAGACATTGAAATTTGTGAAGTTCTATAACAAGTTTCTTCGTTGTTTTTTAGAACAAAGTTTTAACAATTAAAAAAAAAGATTGTCAATCTTCGTTCTTCCTTCCGTTCTCACCTATCCCGATATCGGTCTCTGTCGCGGTGACGCTCCCTGCTTCGATCTCTGTGTGATTTATCTCTACTACGACTTCTGTAGTCCCTTTGTCTCCTATTTCTGTCACGGCTACTGGATTTTCTATTGTGTCTATCCCTTTCGCGATCTCGTTCACGAGTTCGTTCCCTGTCGCGCTCTCGCAATCTCTCTCGCTCTCGATCGCGCTCCCTGTTCTTGTCCTTACGATCGTCGTCAGATCTGCAAAAGAGACATGTTCAAACGGAAATATGATATTGATTAAGTTAGGTTAGGTTAGATTAGGGATTAGGTTAGGATCTTGGTTGTCTTGACTCGATTTATGTGTGCGAGATTATTAATCTCTCATCTTCTTTCTAGGCTGCCAAACGTACTAAGAATAAGTATTTCCTAAATAAATGTCTCTTGCTCGACTTCGGACGGGATATTTTCTGATCAATATTGAAGAAGAATATTAATCACTCCGAACAAAGGAATATCAATAAGTAACGTGATCGTTGTATTCATACCACATGGACGCACCTGGCATGCCAGTGGCTCGTACGCTCGGCTTCGCCCCATTGAGCTTCACTGTCGGGGATATGTCGAGGCTGCTGATTGCGAGATGTCAGATTGCCATTGTCCTTGCGGCCATCTTTACCGCCGTACTTGCCGTGACTATTGAGCGTGATCGGCGGTTTAGCGTTACGCGCGTTTACTTGCTGCTGTGGAAACCGCTCAGCCAGTCGCAACTCCAGATCCTTCTGGATCGGTACAGGTATCCGCGGAAATAGCGTGGAGAACCACTCAAGCTTTGTAAGAAACTGTTTGAGAATGTCGCCCATCTTCATCACTTGACCGCCGCCCGCTTTCACGTCGAGCTCCTCCTCGTCCTCCAAGTAGTCGCTGTACCAGCTAAATAAGTCTGCCGGTGGCTGTGTATATCTAATCACACACACACACAATCATAATTTTTAATTATTTAACTTCCTATTATGTAGTTACATCATAATTGAAAAAAAGAGAGCAAAATATGATAAATTAGCAGACAAATTGTGATATTCGAATGATAATATATTAATATATTTGCAAGCTTCTAACAATTAATTGTACTTTTAGTGCATTTCGCTTGCTATTGTTTATGGGCAGTTAGAAATAAGATAAAACTTACCTAATGTACATGAATCCCAAGGCGCGAATGTAAGGTGAATCTGGATGATTGATAAGTCCATTAAGTTGCTTCCTGGTTAGCCTCAGTGTGAAGAGTTTGTACAGCAGGCAATATGCGGTAGAAACGATGCCGCCAGCTCCAACGCCTCGTACCTGCATGAACCGCTAAATTTACACACCCCTCAGTCAGTTAAATAACATTCGTGTTACCGTACAATATATGGACCGAGTACATGCTACTCTGCAATAAGTAAGTGCGATTAAGTGAAAGAAAGAGCAATAGCAGAGATGGGCTCTGTTTGCTCAAATTCTGAAAACCGGCAACAACCAATGTCTCTCCCTCTCTTTCTCTTTTTCCCATGCATCACTGCGTCCAGATCAATGCGAATCATTGATCTGGATGTTGCGTGCATTTTACCTATTCTTATTCTTGTCTGATATTTGCTCGCAGGCCATCAGCTAGTGTGCTACAATCAGTTTTCTGTGCAAGTGAGTACATCTGTGCGATGGCTGTCTCTCTCAAGCCTTAGACTTCCAACAAACGCATTAGTGATTAAAAAAGGAGATCAAAAAATGAGTAAAAAAATCAAATGTGTTTTTCCCGAGAAAACATACTCACGCCTCCACACATGCCAGTTTGACCTGCAGTTTTCCTGCTACCCTTCTCCCATGGTTCCAGATGAGAGACCTTATAGTAGATCTCATCAATCACCTCGTGATAGGTCTTGAGCTCGTATAAATTCACCTTAAAATAATGTGACGATTGTATGTTGGTGAGGATCAAAGGATTCAAGTTCATAGTCCTTTCATTGCCCCACAAAGGCAATACATTTGACTTTTTACTCTCCTTTTGAGCTGGCCTGCGCTCCTCATCACAGCCACTCGAGTTGTTCCACGGTGAGCCTGAAGAAAAGTTTAAATATTTCAGCAAGATTACTGATATTTTTAGTAGTAAAATATTAAAACCGTAGATGCATAGACAAAGAATATAAATAATGCAAATTGTGCGAAAGAAACCATTAAGAAACAGATAAATTTGAAAAACAGTATTACTTTCTTGCATTTTCAATGTATTTGTCTATTCCTTTTTGTTTCCTCTCCGACAAATCAAGTTTTCAAACAAAAATAAGTAGTAATAATACCGAAGTCAAGTAATATCGAAAAATCAATTAAGGTTTATTTAAGATCAACTTCAAAATGACGTAGTAAAGGGAGGTTGAAAAACTACATCAATACGCAAAATAAGGTTAGGTTTGAGGAACGGAGATTGACAGCCCTGTCGTGAAGAATAAATGTTTGAATATCCGATAATCGAAATCGAATGTTTTCGACGACAAAAAAGCATGCGTTTACTCACCATCCGCGCCTTCGACCTCTTGCATCTGCATGTTCAAGCGATCTGTATAGGAGACTCGCGTTGAGTCTCCGCATCGGTTATACCAAGACCGATTGAACAAATTTGCTTCGCTTCAAGTCGCTTTCTTGATATTAACTCACGCAAAATATCTGCAAACTGATTACTTGCATCAAAAATTGCACAAATTGATGTAAACTTTTCGGCGAGGGAGAAAGAAGCGAAAAATTGGAATTGCTACACTCTGTTACGTTGTACAATGAGCAAACGAACACATACGTTTATGTATTGTCCTGTATTGCGCGTGCACAGTTATGATGCAGCTGTCGCGAATAAAATATTTTCCACGAAAAGTGCACTGAAGATTCAGACCGTGAATTCGAGATTACAGTTTGATTAAATAATTTCAATATTAACTCACTTTATCCTGATAAATTGAATTCCAATTTCTTATTTCGTAATCTTGACTTTCCAATGCATAGACTGATGCAAGCTTAAGCAAAATGAACAATAGCTTTCGATCGTTTATTCCTTATGTCGATAGCTCGCAAAGTTTTTAGATTTTGCGAAGGTTCCTCGTTCAAATCGCATACTAGAATCCTTTTTTTTTTCAACAAATTTATGTAGATCGATGAAAACGATCGCAGTGAATAATGAACGCAGTGTGAATCTAACACAACATAACGCGTCAATTTCGCATTTCATTTCTATTCCGATAGAGTCGCTGTTGTCACTTCTGTATGGCCTTAAAGAATAGTATAAATCTATTATTCTTTTTATTTATGATGTAATTTGAGCTTATCCGTAGAGGAATGTGCAATGTACTCATGGTGAAGGGGTTATGTTATACAAACGTTAAAATATTACATACTTAAAAATTTTTAATACTTGATTGATTTGACGACCAAATGACGTCAGTAATCAATGAAGTTTGTGTTATAAGATAACAATGACCACATGTGTGTTTTCTAATTGTAAAACCTAATATGCTTTCTGGTTTTTGTTTTTTTTGTTTTTTGCCTTTATGTAAATATTTTTCTTCGAAAATTCAGAGAGCAGAAATTTAAATGATGTTTTTTGACTCCATGATAAACACATAAAAAGCAAAAATACATGAGAGGCAGAGAGCAAGAAAAGCAATACGCAAGAAGCACGTTGTAGATAAAGCCTTAATAATTCTTGCAATTGTGTTTATTTGCAGTGTGATATAATTGAGAGGTATTTGCACAAATGTATACTTGTGCATACAAGTAGCACAAGTACACAATATATATTTTTAAGAATAAAATGAGTCTTACAATGATTCATAGGCTTGTGATATCAAGCTGTAGGAATAAAGTTGCTATTGACGCTAGCTGGAAGATTATACCAAACTTGAGTGTTCTGCAAAGGAAGACAACAGTGCAAACGGACACATGCACAAATCACAAAAGATTTTTCCACAATCCTATAATTTGTCCGCAAAAAAATCAATTGAAGGACACTGTCATAGAGAATATATCTACGTTAATAATAAAAAACAGACCATCTAGAAGGAACAGGACTATAATAAATAATGATAAGATACCAAAGCCTAACGTGAGTTTATAATTTTGACTTAGGGAATCTTTATCTACAAGATAATACACTAATTCCTCATGTTAAGAATCTGCGATAGAGAAGAAGAAAATATGATAAAGATATATGTACTATAAAAAACATTTTCTCAACACAGACATGGAATGTAAAAGCTTTAGCCACTGCGGAGGAGTATAATTTGGAAGCTTTAGCCTATGGCCTGTTGAATCAGCAGTTGTACATTCCAAGTGAAATATCTACTTCCACTAATTGTAAGTATTTTTAATGTAAAAATTTTTTGCGACTTTTACATTTCTTCAAAATAAATGTCAGTAATTGCAAGCGATTGCAAGATATTACGAAATTTCTTGAAAGTGGAATGATTGTTGCGGTTTTTTTCGTAACACCGGGTATATCACACTTTAAGAATTCTGATTGGTCCATTTGAGATTCATATGAATAACCGTTTGTGCTCATATAAAGAGCAGACAATCAGCCGTTGACAGTCGCTTGTGAAACGCCGGCTGGTTATCACAGCGTGGTGTGGTGTATCTGCATAGGAATTTTCCGTTTTGATTATTCCATTGTTAATTTATGAACACCATACCATTTCATTGTTGACTTACATCAGACATTGACATTCGTGTCTTTTCGATAAATTACAAGATTAATCATCTCGCAAAGTGATACAATAATCAAGTGATAATCTAGTGTAGTGAAGTGAATGTTATATTTTTTATTATAAATATTCAGAAATATTGAGTGGTTTTACAAAATTATTTAATTTATTTATTTGTATGTTAATAAAACAATCTATATTTGTATACTATTTTTCTGAAGAGATCGTTAAAATCAAGAGCTCTGACATATAAATACAAAATCAAAATATAACAAGTACACTCTATGTAATCAGAAATTGTGTCGAATAAAAATATAAATTCTGGTAATTAAGTGCGGAACTTGGCTTGAAAAGATGCATAAAGATGAGCAAGCAATGAAACTGCCTATCTCGTTGGACCTGCCAAAAAATGAATTGGAAGAACTGATAGATAAAGCAAAGGACTGGGCGCTTATGCATGGAATGTGTTTGAGATCGAAAGTCAATTTCAATAGAGATGTCTTGCAGTTTGCACCATTCGCGCTTTTTCCATCGCCGTTTCCTAGAGAAGAATTCCAAAATGCTTGTGACATTCAGATTATTTTGAACAACCTTATACACAAAGTAGCTCATGATTATGACTTTTTGAAAGAAACTTTGCAAGAGATTACAAAAGTGGATGACTTTACTAAAAATTTGTTTGAAATTTATGAAACTATTCATAAAGAAGGAGCGGCTCAGAAAGTATCCCTTGGCATACTACGTTCAGATATAATGTTAGACACAAGTTGTTATGAGAAAGACAACAAAAGTCTCAAGCCTCACTGTTGCTGGAAGCAGGTCGAGATAAATACAATTGCTTCTGGATTTGGTTGGCTAGGACCTGTAGCTACGCAATTTCATAAATTTATCTTGCAAGAGCTTAATCATACTGCTGAACTGAAAAATCTTCCTGAAAACAACGCATTGCAAACATTGTGTTCAGGCATGATAGAAGCGTGGAATTTATACGGCAACTCACAGTATGTTCATAAATTTTCATGAATTAATTTCTTGACTTGTGTAATTTAACACTTGATTAAATCATTTTCTAACACTTATATATTATTTAATTAATATTATTTTGATTGTGTATTTTGTTATATCTAAAATCGTGTAATTTCAGGGCAGTTATTTTATTTGTTATTGAAGATGTGACGTATAATATCTGCGATCAGCGTTTCCACGAGTTTGAAATACGAAGACAGAATCCAAATGTCAAAGTAATCCGCAGAAATTTGACGCAATTAGCACTCACTGCAAGACTAGGTTCTAATATGGAGTTAATAGTAAGCAATTACGTTGTGTCTGTCGTCTACTACAGATGTGGCTATGAACCAGGTCAATATCATACTCAGAAAGAATGGGATGTAAGATTGCTGATTGAGAGATCGTTGGCGATCAAATGTCCGAGCATTCAATATCATTTAGCTGGTACAAAGAAAGTTCAGCAGACACTTGCAAAACCTGGTATGATCGTGCGTTTCTTGAAGGACGAGAAAACAGCGGCAAAAGTGAAGGAAATATTTACTGGTAAATATAGGTAGTTTTGACACCAAGAGACACAAGCGACACAAAAGTATTATTCTCTCTGTTGCTCATTGAATATCAAACAAAGACAGAATGATACTTGTGTCGATTTGTGTCAACTTGTGTCCTTTGCTGGAAAACATACATAATCACTTTCCCATAAGAATTTAGACGTTAAATTTAAGAAGACGTTGGTTGCTTTAATATTGATGATATAATATTAATTTAATTTCTTGATTTAATATTAATATATTTATTATTTTTTTAATTACACTTACGCTACGAACAGTTAATAAAAAATTTTTTTTTTGTTTCAGGCCTTTATTCACTGGATTTTGACGAGCATGGCAATGCTATTGCTGAAATGGGTATCTCAAATCCTCAGCGTTTCGTGTTGAAGCCACAGAGGGAAGGCGGTTGCAATAACTTGTATGGGACAGATATAAAAAACTTTTTAGAATCTGTGAAATCTGAACGGGCTCGAGTGGCATGGATACTCATGGATCGGCTTTATCCTCCAGTTCATAAAAATTACGTTGTGAAACCTGGAAGTGATGTGGATCTAGAGACAAAAGAGTTGGTCTCCGAGCTAGGAATATTCGGCGTTATCATCGGAGATGATAAGAATATTATTATTAACAAACAAGGAGGTCACATGTTGAGAACAAAATTAGCCATTGATAACGAAGGCGGTGTGGCGACCGGTAGAGGCGCCTGCGATAGCCCGTTTTTAATCGATTAAAATATAAAATAAAAGCGACATGAACCGCATCGTGTAAATTCATAACGTTTTACGTATTATGCAGTTATGTTGTATCATTCCTTTCTGTTGTTCTTCGGAGAATTTGATATTTGCATGATTTTATATTTTTTATACATATATGACGAAATAAAATACATTTATCAGTGAATACTTTTGTTTGTTCTGTACTTACAATAAATCTCTCCCTGCCGTGTCCAAATCATAAAATTAATTGAAGTTAAGTTTGTACGTGTTTCGAATTTGCAGCTGTGCCGGATGTTATACACGCAGTGGCCAAATACGAAGTGGAGCACGAGCCCCGAGAGATCTTTTTCTTCCGCGAGGGTAGCATCGTTATGTGGAACGTTTCCGATCTCGAATCTGGCAATCTGTTGCAATTTTTGAAACGTTACGAACAAAATTGCTACACGGAAGAAGTGATTCACACCGAGACCGAGTTCATGAATTACACTTATGCAGATTCTGGGTACTTATTTTGTTAGAGCAATTGCGTGCGCATGTGAAATAAAAAAAAAAAGATCAAAAAGCAAAGAAATCTGATAAATTTAATAATTTGCAGGAAAAGAAGCCACTTGAAGGACGGCGACATTATTCTGGCCGAGGGAGCTGGAAACCTGGACAAATACACGTTCTCGAACGCCATGGCGCAGTCTGTCAAATTAGGCATCTGGGAGGCAGCGTTGAATCGCTACGTCGACTCGATCGAATTCGTCACCGAAGACTTGAAGGCCGGCAGAAAGCTTCGGATGACGCAGCAGGAGGTGTTGAGAAAACAGGGCGAGCTATTCGCCCTTCGACACCGGATTAATCTCAGCTCGGATTTGCTGGACACGCCCGATTTCTACTGGGATCGAGACGACTTGGAGAATTTGTACCAGCAAATCTGCGGATACTTCAGCATTGCGAAGCGCACAAGAGTAAATTTTCAAGATCTATTAGGTTTATAACTTGAAACCCGCCTTTTTCTGCAAAAATTAAGACTTTAAGAAACAAATGAAAAAAATACATCGATCAAAGTATTGGCCATCGTTAGATATAACTTTTTCCCATCTTTCTGGCAATATATACTAGCAATAACAGATTTTAAAATACGTCGTCTTTACAATATTAATTTATTACGATGCATATATTTTTTCTGCAGGTAATGAACGAAAGATTGAACCACTGCGTGGAACTAGTCAGCATACTTTCGTCGCATTTGAGCGATCGCCATCACATCCGCTTGGAGTGGATGATTATTATACTCATTATGGTGGAGGTCGCTTTCGAAATCCTGCATTACATCGAACGGTATCTTGTAAAATAGTGTAATCCAGTAATATTGTCATTTGTTTTATATGAAGACAGAATGATGTAGATTTATTATACATATATTTTTTAAATATATATACATATAAGGTTCTTCGATTACTACTTTATATAACAATGTTAGGGCATAAATTCTGCTACTTTCGGCGGAATGACGAATCTATCGGGATTCTGTTCGAGCAGACAAGCCAGTAGACGCGGAACGGAGAGAACGGTGCCGGTTATCACCGCGGGAAAGTTTCTACCGCTGGGCGTTTGATAAGCAATCAGCAATCTCTTGCTGAAATAATCGCCGCACGCGGATAGGTGACCGATTTCGATGTACTGGCTCGCAAACGGCGACCACATCTCAAAAGATACGCGCAAGCCCTCGCAGGATTGCAGTTCGGACGCGGATCGCATAACGACGCGATAATGATCGCACAGATGATCGTATACGGTGCAGACGGTTTCCAGAAGTTCCTCAAACAGCGTTTCGTACTCTTCGCTCTTCGCGTCTTTCGCCATGACGAAAACGTGTGCCGCGGATGCCTGGCAAGCCGTAAACAAGCCGCAAGCGCGCGAATCTCGCGGCAACGGTGTGTACTGCCTGCCGGTGGAGTAATACTTCAGTGGAAAGCAGTTGGGATTGATCTGCTGCTTCGTGTGCAATATCAGGAAGGAAGCAAGGCTCGCGCCACCGACCAGGTGCATGCGATTCGGCGAGCCTCTCTCGACCTCGTTGTGATTGTCTAGGAGAAAGGCGGCCGCGGGGTCCTCGTGATTTAAGCCAGAAGCTTCCACTACGAGACTACGGCTGAAATCCGTGCCGATAACTTTGACCATGTTGTTCTCGCCGAGCACCTGGCCGGCGTATGCCAGCACAGCGAGCTCGAATAAGGCCGCGTCGTTGCATAAATAAGAATGGAGTGGGTCCTTGTACTCCAGCAGATCCAACCTCGTCCCGATCTCGATGTGATCTCTATTTTTTTCGGACAACTTGGGCGCGCTACCGATGCTTTTTAACACTATCGGCTCGCCAGCCGGTGTCCTCGGATCCAGCTCGTTCGGTAATTTCAACAGTTTCTCTATCACTTTTTCATCCAGATCCCAAATCGCTTCTTTCATCATCTTTAGATCTTGCCGTACGATCTGGATCTGCGTCTTTAATTTGAGTAGTTCCTTTTCCTCCTCAGCATTACGCTCGGCGTTGACTTCCAGCAATAAATTCTTACGACTTGTGAGCTCCGAATTGTGCTTTTCCAACGCAAGCTTGTCTGCAGCTGCTTTTCGATAAAACTCCCATGTCTTCTCTAACTGAACGGCATCAATGTTCATCCCACGCAATGCTAGTTCCTTCTGCAATTTATCTATATTGGCAAATCTCTCGTCAAAGTCTAGATATGGTGATAGGTACGCAAAGGCTTTATAAGCCTTATTGCCAGAAATATATAGTGCTGAACTGTAGCCTCTCTTAAAGTTCGAAAAAGAAGTTCTTCTATGAACGATATCTGTTAAAGTTCTACAACGCTTTAAAGCGTATGTGAATTTGCATAAATTGTTAGTCATTTTTCAATCTAAATTGTTTCTCACGTCATAGTAAAAGTTAATTACAAACAGTAAGTTAATTTGATTTGTCTATTTTCATAATTTTAGCAGTTGGCTCAGCATCCACATCTATTTTATTAAAAGTCTCTCGTGTCACAGTTTCTATCTTCCGCTTTTTTGGCTCAATGTAGCTTCCTTTGTTTGCTGCTCTTTCTGACTCTTCGATACTATATGGTTCTAATTCAAGCGCTTTCAGCCGTCGTTTGTGACGCTTGTTAGTAAAATGAGCGTGCAGTGTGGTTTTGTTCATAAAGTGTTTCCTAGAATCAAATTATACAACTCTCCTTAATTTTAATAGTTTCAATGATAGACATTCAATGCTTTTCATTGAAATATATATAATATTAATTAGTAACAAATAAATGTTTTCAAATACTATATTATATTAGTATTTGTATATAACATAGTATTTTATAAACAATTTATGAATTTATGATTTAATGCATATCATTATGCAATACATTTTGAACACATTTTACAGAAAAATTTGTTGTATTTTATAACATTATTGCTTTCTATGTAATACTCTTTAAAAAATGTATATTTTTAAATTGCAGTTAAATTTTCTTTAATAATAACAATTTAGTGGATGGTCCTCTTAAAATGTGTTAATAGAGGTTAGAAGTCTTAATTAGGTTAGGTTAGGTTAGGTTACAATACCACGTGAACTTACGCGCAATGTACGCAATAATGTAGCCCAGATCCTGGTTTATCAAAATCCACTTCCTGATGCAACAGCTTCTCCGTATTTTTCTCCTTCAAGTCTTCATTAATCTAAAACCAGAACCATATTATTTTTGATGACCGATAAATGTAAGTCCGATATATATACAGGGTGTCCGATAATTGCTGAATCACCTCTCGGGTGTAGGTAGAGCGGGTTAAACCGAATAGAAAAGTCCTCTATCATTTTGCGATTTTCGCAATAATTAATGAGGAATTAATTAAAAAATATCGGCCAATTCGCGCGAGTTTAAGAGCGCGGCGAGAAGAGACCCGTGGTGATACAGCCCACTGTTATTTGGTTACTAGGCGCGCGATAAATCGTTGGGAGGAGCGCTCTATGAATGACAACGGCACATACGAGCGGTGTGTAACGCTAGATCCTTGCGTCCTAGCGACCACGTAACAACGGGCTGTCTCTTCACGCCGCGCGCTTAGACTCGCGCAAATTGGTCGATCTTCTTTAATTAATTTCTCATTAATTATTACAAAAATCGCAAAACGATAGAGGACTTTTCTACTCGGTTTAACCCGCTCTACCTGCACCCGAGAGGTGATTCAGCAATTATCGGACACCCTGTATATCAAGCTATCCATGTGGTGTTAAAGAGATTAAAGAGGTTAGATTGAACAAAATTGACGCACCTCGTCCAAGTCCTTCGTTCTCCGCTTCGTCCTCCAACCTTTCTTCAAATGTGTGTTACCTTTATGATGCTTTTTACGTTTATAAGGCATTTTAAAATTTACACGACCAGAAATTAACTGAATTAACTTGTCAAATGCATGTTACTGTTAGGGTGCCGTCACATACAGCCCGTAATCCGTAATCCGCAAAAGTTACTAGGTATTTCGTCCGTAACGTTACGTGTGTTTTTATCTCCTTGTGTCCTATGGAGCCGTAAATACAGTCGTAACGGTAGTACTATTTTTTATTTAACAAATTGTAATTATTTATTTGTATTTTATTTATAAGAAAACTGCAGAATATATTATAATTTTAACAAAAGTTTTAATTAAATCGTCAAATTTAATTAAATAAATAAAATTAAAAAAAGCATTGTAATAACTAGTAACTTGTAGTAACTTTTACGGAAATTTCATGAAATTACGGCTCCATGGGACACAAGAAGATAAAACATACGTAATGTTACGGACGAAATACCTAGTAACTTTTGTGGACTTTCGGTGCGGATTACGGATTACGGGCTGTATGTGACGGCACCCTTATCGATCCGAAACGTGAGATTTGTAAATATCTCGATCACACCTCGATTGCAGTCGAGTTTGTCACAAAAGCGATAGCATTGATCTCATATCATTTAATGGATATTAATGAAATATATATCGTTTATGAGGATAAAAAAAGGAAAAAGTAAAAAGTATATAACACATTTTATCGTAACATTACGATAATATGGCATTTAAAAATCTGACGAATTGTCACCATAAAGTAATTCAATTTAGATCGCCATTTCGCGCCTTTATTTGGTTCATAAATTTTATTACGATGGAACGTGGACAGATGGCAGCATCGTGTCACGAGAGAAATCGCGCCCCTAGCGGTCGTCGCGGATATTAGTTCAAACGGTGCGCAAGTGGCGGGAGGGGAGGGAGCACCCATCCATTTTGAAAGTAAAAATACTGTGCGATCCGGGATTTTCATCGGACGGATACACCGCGAGGGTAAAAAAGTCGCGAGACACGCCGTGCGAGTCGGTACCTCTACACGGAGTGGCCGCGCGTAAAATGACGTAGAGCGTCGCGTCGGGCGTCAGCGCGCGCGCTGCCGACGTGTGTGGTGAGCGGAAACGGTGCGCGGTGTGCCGTCGCGGCGCGTCGTAGCGATCGGCGGTGGCGTACGGGAAATTGGCCGTGGTGGCTTCGCCAATGGATGCCAGGCAGCACGGGACGCCATTTTGATATACGGGCGCACGTCAAGCGCTTCGCCTCTCGCAAAGTGAAACGCGCTCCGCGAGTCGCTTCTCCGCCGGCCTGCGTAGAACACGCGCAGGCCGAATTCGGGCGTTACGCGAGCTGAGCCGGGCATCGCGAGGCGGGCTGGTGCGTGGTGCGTGGCGCACACGAATCCCGTGAGTTTCGTTGACAAGTGACAGGTGAATCGATCGGGAGTCTACGAGAGAGCGCGAGAGAGGAAGGCTCTCTTCGCAGTTTGTCGCTGTCGTCGCCGTTTGTTGCGGCCCTTGCAAGTCGTGAGCGGAGCCAGAGCGATATCGTCTCGTTTCGTCTCGTGTCGTGTCGTGTCGTGTCGTGTCGTGTGCTGTGCCGTAGCGTACTGTGTCGTACTGTACTGTGCCGTTAAACGCGCCCCCGCGTAGAGTCGGTTGCTCGTCCGTTCGCGAGCCCGTTGCCGACTATTCCGGTTTGGCACATTGGAATTTTTTCTGCACGCGGCGTGAGAGTTGCAGAGACCGCGCACGGACGCCCGCGAGTGTTATAAGCCGTTAATGCGGTGAACAGAAAGATCCGAGGGGGCGACGATACGGCGAGAAAAAGCCGCCGTCGCCGTTTCGTTTCGCGCGCGCGAGCGAGAGAGCGAGCGAACGCGCGAGCGACAGAGAGAGAGAAAGAGAGAAAGAAAGAGCGAGTGCGAAAGAGGCAGAGAGGAAAAAGAGCATTCGAAAGAGAGAGAGAGAGAGAGAAAGATATAGTGAGACAGAGTAGCGAAGAGGCCACCGGCCGACTTTGGTGCAGGACAAGACGACTCGATGTCGGGAGCGGATCGTCCTCGTCCCCGTCGCGCATCGTTGTGCGCCGTGAGAGCAGTAGCAGCAGCAGCAACAACGGTAACAGCAGGACGCTTCTCGCGTAAATGTGCCCCCGTGCGCGCCCATGTGCTGCACCTCCTTCTACTTCTCTGCCCGCTGCCCCTGCGTGCCCTGTAAAACCAGAGCACACCACCCTGATTAGCACGCCCGCACTCGCGCGCACTCGTACCCGTGAACATGGCCAAGATCCTCAACAAGGACCCCGTCACGTACGAGAAGGAGAGGGAGAACTTCCTGAAGGACCTCCGACACTTCCACGAGACCCGAGGGTAAGCTAATGCGCGCTCGTTCCTTCCGTTATCGCGTCTGATCTTGCTTTCGCGATGCGTTCTCCCGCGAACGTTTATCTCGAATTTAGATCCGCTCTCCCTCCCTTCCCTCTCGATCGCAAGTCGCTCGAGCCGATCGATGGTCAGAAGCCGCGGCGACACGCGAGCGGATCGGCACGAGAGCGCGCGCGTTGAGGTTATGTTCGACCGATTTCTCGAGTTTCAGGACAAAGATCTTGCGGACTCGCTCGTTCGTTCCGACATTCCTACGTTTTTCCTCACAACGATTTCTTACACGTACGACGTGTCGAGGAGAGCGTCTTGCGGGGAAAAAAAGAGACGCGAATTTCGATGTGTATGTATTATGTGATATATATACATACATACATACATATATATTTAATAGCGTCGATGCTCTACAAACACGTTGGACATGTAAATGTGTTACTTTGCCAATGAGCGTGTCTATTGTTATGCGATTCCATTTAGTCGCGAATCTTACATCACGATGCAGATTGTAATTTTTTAATGTGTGTGACGCGAAAACGGAAATGTCTATTATATCGGGCAAGCATTGAAATTCAGATTTGTATTATATGATGGATTGCAACATGGCGTGAATCGATAGATTTGAAAGTTAGATTTTTCTTCAACGTTACTTTTCGGAAACTCAAATCCGATTATTATATTTAATTTGTCGATATGAGATGTCTGTTTCCGCCTTTCATAATAAGTGTTGTAATAGTAAATTGACGTCACAGACGTATGTGTCGACTTCTTGTCGGAATAGTTAACTATGAACGATTATTCTGAATATTATATTGCGTAAATGTATAGAACATTTTTATTGAAAAACGCGTTTACAACAAACGGATGTTTATTTTTGCGGAATCAAACTCTGAAGAAGCTTTTATGAGAAATTAATTGTTAAATACTCATTAAATTCCACTCTACGAATGTTTCTAATGTTTCAAAGATTCTTTGCTTTTAATTTCAGGACTCTCTTCAAGAAATCTCCGAAGATCAATGGGAAGGATATAGATCTGTATTTGCTGTATGTGGTGGTGACTGCTCACGGAGGATGGATTAAGGTGAGTCATTTTATCAAACTGAAATGTTTTTAATTAAATATGTTGTAGAGGCGTTCAATTATCTCGCGTGCTTAATTATGTTTAAAAAAGAACCGTGCATAGCAACAGATTAATATTAATACGATGCTTTTAAATAAAGCATTCCGCAAGATATTTCTTAACAAAATACATGCACAGTATTGCAATATTACTGGAAGACAAAAAAATGATTTTGTTGTACATTTAATCGCATATAACGCAGGTTATGATTAATAATTACGGCATGCATTGGATTCCACCGAAATAATTGCTTGCGAAATCGGCGCAGTTGCCATTTCGTTTTGTTTAACGTCGTTACAATCGTGTCGAACAAATGCGAAATGAATTTTCGCGAATCTCGCTTTTAATTAGCATCCGGTTACAATCGATTCCATTGAAACCAAGTCGACATTACGTAAAAATGCCAGCAAATGCCTGAGGATAATTTTGTAGAATACTACGGAAAATAAAAACTATTAATTTTTTTATATCACTACTAAGGGTTGCCATTCTCGAAATATTTGTGCGAAATTATACATTTATATTAATCGATTGACAAATTTACCGAACAACATACGCTTGAAGGTACATTTCTCGCCATGCGTTTGCATTTCTCACCAAGTTTTGCCGATAGTTTGTTTAAAATTTGCGAACGCTGGTTACTCGATAGTTCCCTTGGGAATATTTAAAGATTATCGCTCGCAATATTACGCCGCAAATTCCATTCCGCGTTCGCGAATCACGCCCGGTGGAAATTTCAATCGAGCGATCGAACGAGTATTTTTACGCCGCGGTTACGCAAGTGCGTGATTATATGCAATTTCCGAAATGCCGATCTTCCTCGCGTCTCACGCTCAGCGATAGTACCATTATTAGTACGACTAACTATAACTTACGAGAATTTGGCATCGGCGAACAGGATAGCGCGCTCGATGGCCCAGATTTCGCGAGAGGAGAGCTCTATAGCGACTCTATAGCAAGCTTAACGGTGATAATTGCACGGTGTCTTATGCGGTCGGATTAAAACGCTCGCTTTCACCTATTGCACATTCAATGCGACAAATCGGTACCTGGAAGTGGAATAACCAATGTCTCGCCGAGGCGAATAAAAGGGGAAAAAAAAATAGCGAAATAATGATACGTAGAAGGAAAGCCACGCATATTAGCAGCTTTTGCTTCAAAGAAAATAGCCAGGCCAGAATAGTGTTTAACGGAAAAATCATTCGAAGTGTGTTCAGAATATTTCTTTCATTTGTCTTTCAACTTTGACCGCTGGCTTGCTTCTCTGGCTGCGCTTTTTTTATACAGCAATTTTTCTCCTCACTCTGAGCTCATACTTCATTTTATTTTGAACATAGGAGACGTAACTAATTAGTATAACTGGAAAAGCGGAGTTCATGATAGATCACGTAATGATTGAACACGGATATCTCACACACGCGCGCGCGCACACACACACACACGCGCGCGCGCGCAACATCGTCTCTTCGACTTTGCGACTGCATTTAGTCGCATTAATTTTCCGTACGACACCTCGCACGTAAACACGCCATTGTCGTGTCTCTTTCTTTACGAGCGCAAACGAGAGCTGATACGCGCACGACTCGGTGCGATTTCGCTGCGATGTTTACGACCGATTGATTATCGCTGTCTCCCGACCGGCCTGCTCGCCGCCTGTCTCTCGTAACGACGACGAGGCGCGGTACGGTTCTGTGTTCTTTTGACGCGTTCGTTCGGTGAAACCGTACGTTGTGATAAGTGATCACCACGCGCACGCCAGTGGTTGTCATGCGCTTCTCTCTCGCGGAGGAGAAACGCGCGATTCATCTCGATTTTTCGTTCGATTTTCATTCGACATTAATTCGATTCTCAACCGGACGGGACGAACCGATCGAATTAGATCGCGATTGGAGCACGCTTTAAGGCGATTTTCCGTCCGTCACGGCGCCGACTTTTTCATCATCGCGCAAGTGCGTTATCAGTTAATATGTAGCGCGCTCGCCGCTCGCACGATGACATAACTCGCGTGTCGAGCCTTCACGTACCTCCCTCTCCTTTTTACGCCTACTCTCTTCAACCTTCAGCGCGAGCTTCTCCGAAGAGAGAACGTAGTGGCGCCAATGATCAAAGAACGGCCGTGCAACGCGAGGGAGGGGGTGGAGGGGGGGGGGCGAGGCGACGAGACCGAGGGCGGAGGGGATCGACCTGAACGAGTCATCGACGCACATGGTCGTCAGGGGTTAGTAACCCCTCCGGTTGACACACACAATTATAACATCCGTAACTTATCTTTAACCCCCAACGAGCGCGACGAGCTTGAAATTTCAAGTATAATCGACTTACTGTGATCTTCGATTATGGAGGTTTGAATTATCGGATATCCAGAAACCGCGATTTCATTCAAAATGCACGGACCGATCGCGTATTCGCGTTCGAAGCTGCGCTCCGGCGCTCGGCAAAAGTCGTTTCGAGTCGATTGATCGCGCAGATCGGCTGCACATCGGCGGCCCGCCTGGACAAAAACATTAGGACAAGGCGGACGCGAACGGTGAGGTCAAGGTCGCTCGCGGAGGTGCCACACTAGGCGAGAGAGACAGATCATGAAGCAAAGATAAAGGAGGAGGGGAGCGAGAGAGCGAGCGGAGGAAAAGGTGGCGGGAGGACGAGACGGGGCAGAGAAAGAGAACGAAGGGGAAAGAGAATACCATGAGAGACGGAGGACAGGCAGCGCGAGGAGGTTGGCGGCGAGCGGTGGAGGTGGTGCGAAGGCCTCCCCTCAACAAGTGCGATCGGTGAGCCCGAAGCTCGTCGCTTAAAACTATATAATCCGCGAGCGGCCCGGTCGCCGCGGTCAGAATGTCTCGCCCGCGGGAGCGCAAGCCGTCCACGTCGCCCCGGTCGATCGTATCGCATCAGTCTCCGCATTCGCGCGGATAAATCGCCGAACTTTCCGAAGGATGTCCGCGAAGTGAGAATGCCGAACCCGGTCTCGCGCGAGGAACTTTTCCTTTTCGAAAATCGCGCAAAATCGGGACGAAAGAACGAAACTCGAGAGAGAAAGAGATTCGCGGTGATCGCGCCATCGCGAATGTTCACGTTCGACGGTGGAAAAGTGAACCGGCGGGGTTGTCTAAATCGAGAGACCACGCGATGCGAGTCCCACGGCGATCAATGATCAATTGGAGGCATAATTTCCTTCTCGGCTAATCGCGAACGCGACACGCCGGTGGAACAGCGACGATTGTACGAATGAATTTTTTTTCGACGCGCGCGCGCGCGCGCGAGAGAGTTCAGACATCTTTGCGTTTGCACTGTTACGAGAAACGCGTCTCCGTCGGCGACGAAAGTTGTTCCCTTTGTACGCGGACTCGGTCTTACACTCGGAACATCGAGTTCACCGGGAGCGCGGCGTATTGCGTTACCGGCGAAATTATTGTCCGCCGTGCGCTCGGTGACGGCTTAGCTCGCACGACAAAATCTCCGCCGATTCCGTCGGCCGTCTTCCGCAGAGGCACCGCACTTTGCAGAAAGTTCAGTAAGCCCGGAGACAGGGTCGGTGGGAAGGGGGGGGGCGGAGGGGGAGAGAGAGAGCTTTGCGGACTCTCTAAAGCTGCTTTTGTCTACGCCGCCTGCCTCGCCGACGGAAGCGACTGCGTCGAGCTGTAATTAGTGTTTTATTCTTACAGACGACGGCGGTGGTACGAGGATTAGTAATATAAAAATGGCCGCATGATTTTCGCGTTGGAAAACCTCTTAGAGTCAGCTGCGTCCAACAGCTTTCCGTGACCGAATTAATTAAGTAGCGAGCTCCTCGACGAGAATGTCTCCTTTTCCTCGCAGCGAAATTCGCGAAATCTCTTCAGTTCTCGCGAAACGTCTAAATATATGTATGCGCAATTGTGCGGGATTTTTTTCTGCAAAATCTTTAAAACTGGATTTTCCGGCGCTCGTTTGAAAGAATTTCCCGATGCAGCCAAGCCACGAGAGGTAAGAAAAAGCGTGGCTGATTAACGTTGGCGCAATCCTCGTAGCACTTACGAGACTGCAAGAGTAAAGAGTACACTTTTACGTCGGGCGGTCGTGGGAATCGCTTTTTCTGTTGTACGTTTAAGTTTGGAAACCTTTCTCGGCCTCAAACGCCTCTTTCTTTACTCTCGCAGCAGGAACCAACCTTGACGTTATTAGAAACTCCGCGGTTGTCTTCTTCAACCCAGACGCCCGTTTGAGAATCCGCGCGCGGAAAAGGGAGAAAAAGAGCTTTATCCAGCGCGTTATCTTACTCTTAGCTTCCCCGAGATAAACACACGATGGGTTTAATTTCGCCGTCGATTATCGCCGAGAGCGCAAAATCGGACGCTGGATTTAAATCGTACTTATTTGTTCGCCCCGAATGAATTCTATTTTCGCACGTTTGAAATGATATCGGGCGGTACATCGCCGAGCGACGTTTGTCATCCTGCGTATATCGTCGATGTAAGCGTTTTATCTCGGCCTCTGGTTTCAACGGCGTTCGCCAGTTAGCGGGGAAATGAATCCACGTAATCGCATTACCATCTTCGTCATTTTCCAGTGCGCTGTTATGAATTATTCACAGCGTCATTACGTAAGATGTTGGAAATGTATGCGGTGGATTAGATTATATTGATAATCGAACGGTACATTGCTGAAGCAAGATTGTGATAATACTATCTTTTGTTCGCGAACAAGTTCCGTCTTCGGTTTGCACAATCCAACGCGTTGATGCATGGAAAGTGGCACAAGTAATATAAGCTTGGAAGCTTTGCGATTGTTTCTCTTGCGTCTATTATCCAAACAGCCTCGCGATTGATGTAGAACGATCGAATTAACCGGGAATGATTTATACAAATTATCGAGGCGTTCGGATCTTCTCGCTATTAGCGCGCCACGTTATAAAATATGATCCGAAAGTTCCGATGGAACGTCTAAAATATCTAAAAATATCTATCTTCGCGTGAAGACGA